ATTCTATTCTATTCTATTCTATTCTATTCTATTCTATTCTATTCTATTCTATTCTATTCTATTCTTAACTATGTCAAGAAAGGGCGTAAAAGGAGGCAAAACTCACTGAACTATCTCACTTAGCAACAGAATTCCGGGCTCATTTGTGGTCATAAGTCAAGGTAATATAGTAAGTAATGACAACTCTCCACCACCAGGTGGCGATAATCAGTTTCAGTACAGTAGTCATAGCAAATTCATTACAGGGAGTGCTCCTTACAATTGGGGTCAGAATTTCTGTTGCTAAGTAAGGCAGTTGTTAAGTGTGTTGGGCTGCATTGACTACCTTTCTTGCCATAGTTGTTTAGGGAATCACTGCAGTTGCTAAGTGAATCACACTTTTGTTAAATGAATCCAGCTTCCCCCATTGACTTGGCTTGCTGGAAGCCAGAACAAGGCAACTGTCATAAGTACATGCCAGTTTCCAAGCCTCTGAATCTTGGTCATGTAACTGTGCGGACACCGCAAGGGCCGCAAGTGTGAAGAGTGGTGCTAAGTCACTTTTTTCGTTGCCATTGTGAGTCTGAATGGTTGCTAAATGAATTGTTGTCAGTTGACGGCTGTCTGTATAGCTGCTCCATTCCAAAAGGCTCTGTGGGGGTTACAACAGGGTTTCTCTCAACCTCAACCATTTTAAGATGAGTGGATTTCATCTCCCAGAATTCAATGCTGGCTGGGGAATTCTGTGGGTTGAAGTCCACGCTTCTGAACATGGCCGAGGTACAGAAATACTCACTTCCAACACCCGATCTGCAATTAAAAACAAACAAAAGCACAACCACAAAGCATAGCAGGTCAAACAAAACAGCCTAAAAGTGTTTTTAAAAATGACAGGGACTCCACTGATACTCAACCCCCAAGTCTTGTGTCTCTTCGGACAAGGTAGCCAGAAGTTATTCTATGAGGTTCAGACATTATACGTCTTACACTTAGGCAAGAAAAACCTAAAGGACACATATAGACTGGGGGATAACCAGGCTTAGTAGCAGTAACTGTGGGAGGGATCTTGGAATCTTAGTGGACAACCAGTTAAATATGAGCCAGCAGTGTGCAGCAGCAGCCAAAAAAGCTAATGCAATCCTAAATTGCATTAACAGAGGGATACAATCGAGATCAAGTGAGGTACTAATACCACTCTATAAGGCCTTAGTAAGACCACACCTAGAATACTGCATCTAGTTTTGGTCACCACATTATAAAAAAGATGTTGAAACTCTGGAAAGAGTGCAGAGAAGAGCAACCAAGATGACTTGGAGGCGAAAACATATGATGAATGGTTGCAGGAACTGGGCACGGCTGGTCTAGTGAAGAGAAGGACCAGGGGAGACAGGATAACAGCATTCCAATATTTGAGCAGCTGCCACAGAGAGGAAGGGATCAAGCTATTTTCCAAAGCAGATGAAGAACAATGGATGGAAATTGAACAAGGAGAGATTCAACCTGGAAAGAAGGAGAAACTTTCTGACAGTGAGAACAACCAACCAATGGAACAGAAGTTGCCTTTAGAAGTCATGGGAGCTTCATCACTGGAGGTTTTTAAGAAGAGACTGGACTGCCATCGATCAAAAATGGGGTAGGCAATAAAGGAGAATTTTAGGAGAATGAGAAGGGCATAAATGCAAAAAAAAAAAATACACTGGGGTGGATTTTTTTTTTTTTACTTTGATCTGTTCTTAGTGACCTGTAACAAATAGATAGTGTTATAATAGACTTATAACCATTCAACATTATAATGGCACTGAAAAAGTGATCTACAACCATTCCTTATACTTACGACCATCACAGCATCCCCAACCTGACCAAAATTTGGGTTCTTAGCAACCAGCATGTATTTACGACGGTTGTGCGATTGCCATTTTCAACCTTCCTAAGCAAAGTCAGTGGGGGATATATATATATGTGTTTGCCTGGCTAGTGGTGTGGAGATTTTTTGTTTGTTTGTTTGTTTGTGAGTGCAGGCTTCCAAATGATTGACAGCCTGGTGGAATCATCTCTTCTATTCATGCTTTCTGGTCTTTTTTTTCAATCTCTATGGCTTCTCTGATGATTCTGTGGCTGGGGTTTTCTATAGTGGCTAGGGTTTTGGTGCCATTGAAGTTGATGCTATGACCTGTGGCTTCCATGTGTTGGACTAGTGAGGAAGTGTGTTCCAGTGCACTCACAAACAAAAAAATCTCCACACCACTAGCCAGGCAAACACCTGGGCACAAACAGATCCCCCCGATACCTCCAGCTCAAACACATCCCAACCAGGCACCCAGATGAAACCCAGCTTCCTAACTAATGATAGCCGTCCGTTTACCCAGAGCCAAGCTGCACTAAAGGCCTCCAATAAAGTAACACAATGTTGCCAGCCAATCAAGATACAAAAAGAGCCAAAAAACAGACAGAAGATATTAGAAACACCAATCAAGCAGAACACAGCAAACTCCAAGACCAATAAACACAGACCAAGACTCCCAACCAATCAGGATAAAGAAAAAACCATTCTGGCACAGCAATAGGCTGCCCCAAATTTAAATCCGAAACCACTGTAAAAGTCTGACTCTCAGATGAACACTATACAGAAGCCTGATGATGGCAGATGAGATTCTGCCGAATCATACATTGCAATGTCCTACCTGTCAATGAATACTTCAGCTTCAACCATAACAACACAAGAGCACACAATAGATACAAACTCAAAGTAAACCGCACCAAACTTGATTGCAGGAAATACGACTTCAGCAATAGAGTGGTCAATGTCTGGAATACTCTACCCGACTCTGTAGTTTCTTCCCCAAACCCCAAAAACTTTAACCTTAGACTGTCTACTACTGACCTCACCCCTTTCCTAAGAGGCCTGTAGGGGGCGTGCATAAGCGCACCAACGTGCCTACTGTCCCTGTCCTATTGTTTCTCTTATTCTTTTATTTTTCTTATATGTACCCATTTCATGTATTCACAACTATGTATACATTTATACTTATTATCTTGTAAACAATTGGCAAATCAAATAAATAAAAAATAAATAAACTTTAAAAGCACAACTACAATGACGTGGGAAAATACCCGAACAAAGCTGGATGCCATACATACATACATACATACATACATACATACATACATACATATTTCCACATGTGGTGGCAATGTATAGAAGTTAAAAAATACTGGAAGAAGGTACTGAGATGCCTTTTGAGATTACAAATCATAGATTGAAACTGGAACCAGAAACATTTTTATTAGGTATGATTAAAAGGAATTTGAGCAAGGATAAAAGATACATCATGGTACACATCTTAACGGCAGCAAGAATCACCTTTGCACAAAGTTGGAAGAGCGATAAAATACCACCAGATAAAGCTTTAATTCAAAAAATAATGGATTGTGCAGAGTTAGACAAATTCACTATGGAATTAAGAGGCAAGGATGATCTAGAATATTACGTGAGATGGGATAGATGGTACGAATGGGTGGAGAATAAAGATAAAAAATGAC